TTTTTTGTTAATTTTCATTATCTAAAAATTTTTGCAGCTGACTAAATTATGCATAATAAATTATTACTATTACGAGAGCATTTCTATTCGTTATCAGTTTAGCTACAAGTTGAAGTAGGATGTGAATTTATTTTTTAAAATCTATTGAAAATCATATTCTCGAACATACGCTAACAAAAATCAAAGAACTATTGATTGATTAATTATTATATGTAATCTATAATGGTCTTGTCATTTTCATTATCATATTTACTTTCTGAAATCTTAATTGTTGGAATACTAATCAGATATCTACCTTGGATGACTTCTGAATGACAATATAAACAGAAAAGCACAAATCTTCTAACCTGACAATTATTTTATTAATTATTTATGGATATTTTTCAATAGAATATTGTCATGTTTCTTATAGTACATCAGCTTGGTTAGCATCCATATGCTCAAAAATACTAGACTAAGATTTAGAAAGAATATTGCATTTCTTATTTTCTCTGAATATATCAAAATAAATACATTCGTCGATGTAGTTCAACGAAACTATTTTTTGTGTAGTGTAAATCTTTATTATTTTAATAATTTCTTTTGAATAGAACTGTGAACAATAAAATATTATTAAGCGCCTATAAGTTTGTGTTGCAAATTAACATGACAATAAAATTCGTCCAATGTATACTTGATATCTAAATTGCAACATTGCACTTGAATATCAATGTCGTTACCATGTTTTGCCTGCAAGTGACTGATAAATCCAAAAGGCTTGAAGTAGCGACGAGTACAATTAGGAAGATGACATTGATTTGTTTTACCAGGTGATATTGTTTTTGATGCCGAATCTGCAGTCAGGTAAATTTTGGACAATTTATTTGCAGCTAAGCAACAAACTATACCTTGGTCATCAATAAAGGGTTGTTTTTTTGCTTTTTGATGACGATTAAATTGCGTAAGAGTTTCGCAAGTAAACGAACAGGCACAAGTGAGTGAAGTATTTGTCTTATGTTTTTCTTTCTTGTGCTGCGACAGTGACTTCTTGTTCTTAAATTTCTTTGAACATTGCGAACATCTCTCCTCAATTGTGTTTATAGGTTGAGGTACTGATGCAAGTTTTAGCAATGCATCTACTGGCTTGGGATCTACACAACGATGCTGTTCATTTCGCCTACGACATTGTGTAACTAATTCTTTCAAATCTTGAGAGGAAGGGTTTTTAATTCCTTTCTCAGCAATTTTTTCTTTATCATAATCATAGATAACACTTTCAATGACTTCTTTGTAAATATGATCATTGCCATGAACGAGAAGAATGAATTGAAACTTCTCAACAAGCTTGCCTAAAAAATAAATGAGTTTACCATCAGCGGAATTCGAAGAATTTATTAAGTGCGATGGACACAAGTGAATATGTGGGATTCCAGATAATTGTTTATAAAGACTGTCTGGTATTGTTGAACCGTCTTTGTTCCAAAATAAGTAAAATTCACAATTTGGTGGGAATTGACGACAAATTATTATATCATTGAATAAACTTCCACGGCCGCCATCGCAATCAACGAGAATAAGTTGCTTGTAGCTAGACATTAAATACGCGTCTATCGTCAGTTGTTATGATGAAAAAATGAATGATAAGAAAAAAGAATTTTTTTATAGTAGAAGTAAATGTGTAATATGATAGATTTAAAATTTGCATTTATGGTCTCGAGAGGAACCGCAAAAAGTGATGGATGAATCAATCATTTGTTTTTGAAGATGCATGTCTACCTTGTGACGCTCTCGCTTGCATGTGCTATACGTATGCTATTTATCCTTTCGATTCTTCTCATCTAATGGGTTATCCTTTTATATCCTTACTTCGGTACAACTTGATGTACTCTGGAATTATCTTTCCTTCCTTCTATTTGATGGGCGACTATATAACCGTGTGTTTTGTATCAGAACGATGCGATTCTCGACATGAAGAAATAAATAAAAACGTAGTCCTATCAGTGCATACATCTCTCCCATCATAAATCGTCACGTACCGTCAGTTGTCATGATGAAAAAATGAATGATGAGAAAAAAGAATTTTTTTTATAGTGGAGGCAAATGAGTAATACGATAGGTTTGAAACTCGTATTTATGGTCTCGCGAGGAATCGCAAAAAAAAAGATGGACTAATCATTTTTTTCGAAGATAGGTGTTAGCCAAAAGAATTTTTAACAGACATATGTTGACACAAACTTTTCGTTGTAAAGGTGAAAAATAAATTCATTAACGTGAGACGAACTGGACACTGTTTTTTGGATGAAAAAGGAGTACTGACGAGTATGTGGTGAATAGATTGAAATAAGAATATAATATCCACACTTATCTAGACTCATAGAAAAAGTATCATGTGTTTATTATAAATTCGTCAACTGCTATGCAAGCATCGAACAGATTTTGTTCTATCAGTCAGGAATGAAATAAAAAATACGAATACAAAAGCAAAATGAAACATAAGTTTAATATTTTGCATTGTTGTTGGTATTGTATTGATTTTCTATCATGAGTTATTTTACAAGTAAAAATAATAGAATAAAACAGTTGTGTGAAGCTGTTTTTTTTAAAATAACATCATTCTTCTCTCACATTCACACTCACATCGATGCTATGAAAGGAAAATAACATTGATTAAATTAATTATATAATATTTAATCAAATAAGAATGGTTGATTTATAATAAATATTGTAAGAAAAAAGCAAAATTTATTCTTATCAATTATTGTCACAAAAATAATTATTATCAAAATATATGTGATCTTAGATTGAATTTTGAGTACAATCAATTAATTTTAAAATAAGCTGCAATTAATGGATACAGAAGTATGTGTATATATATATCCTTTTGCTTTTAAATATCATCTTACATTCTAATCTTTTTTATTATTATTGCCAATATAAAAATAAAATTATTCCGATGATAAAATAAAATTCAGTAGCCGTTATCGTATGATGAAAGTTAGTTATTTTATTTTTTTGTTAGTTTTGTTAACGACATGTACGGTGATCGATGCTTTCGATAGAGGTGATATTATTTTACTACACAATTTTGATGGATCCGATGAAGAAGCAATCTGGAAGAAATTTCTTAATCCTTTGATACAATTAGTGGCAACAGATAGAGGTGATCAAGCATTGCGCATTGAACGAAATCTTCCAAATAGTCCATCAACATTTATTTCGATTCCTTTACCAGCACTTGCATTATGTGGTTATAAGATTCGAATTCAAGCAAATATCAAAGCAGCACATATTAGTATACCACCAAATTCATGGAATGGTATTAAAATAATGCTTCATACAAAAGGATTAAGTGGTGATAATTATCCACAACAAAATCTTCCACGAGGTACATTTGATTGGCGTACGGCTGATTATATAGCGAGTATTCCTCGTGATACACAACAAGCAAATCTTGTACTCGGTTTGGAAGCTGTAACTGGTACTGTTTGGTTCGATGATGTTAAAGTAATTGTCTATAATAAATTACGTCCACCTCCACCTTCACCACCACCACCTGGTCTACCATTCAAAGGTCATAATCTAACACGATTACGAGGAGCTATGATTGGTACAAATCTCAAGGAACAAGATTTTCGAGATTTTGGTAGTTGGAATGCAAATCATATACGTTGGCAATTGATGTGGAATGGATTTCCTCATAGTCCAGCTGATAATGGTGATATCTCAGCTTATGAAATATGGCTTGAAAGTGCACTTAAACATCTTGATTCAATGTTACCAGTATGTCGTGAATTAGGCATGCATATATTGATTGATTTACATACACCTCCAGGTGGTCGCAATGATGAAAAAGAATGTAATTTATTTAAAGAAAAACGTTTTCAAGATACATTTATTTCATTATGGGAAAAAATTGCACGACGCTATAAAAATGAATCTATTATTTGGGGTTATGATTTAGTTAATGAGCCAGTTGAAGGAATAGTTCCTGATGATGTCATGGATTGGCAACAATTAGCTACAGTTACTATCGAACATATCCGTGCTATTGATTCAGAACATGCAATTATTATTGAAGCAGCACCTTGGGGAGGTCCAGGCGTTCTAGCTGATTTTGAACCATTACCTTTCAGTAAAATTGTTTATTCATTTCATATGTATGAACCTGGTACATTTACTCATCAGAGTGTTTATGATGATATTCCTCCTGTATCATATCCTGGTATTATCGATGGTAAGATGTGGAACAAAGATCAATTACGTGTTAACATGAAACGTGTTCTTGATTGGCAACATGATTATAATGTTCATATTTATGTTGGTGAATTTTCAGCTATTCGTTGGGCACCGGGAAGTAGTGCGTATGCTTATTTACGTGATGTCATTGATATTTTTGAAGAAAATAATTGGGATTGGGCTTATCATGCATTTCGTGAATGGCCAGGTTGGAGTGTAGAACATATTGGTGACAAAGATAACACTCAATATTCTCCCATTCCAACGGATCGGCAAAATCTCCTCATGAATTGGTTCACACAAAATGAACATTAAAAATTCTACATATTCTACTTTTGAATATATTTATTTAACTTTCTTTTTTGAAGAAAAATAAATATTCGATTAATGAGATTACAAAAGTTTATTCATAATTCAAAAAATAGAATTGAGCTCATTTTAAAATGTATACTTAGAATATTACGCATATCTGTTTAAATATATGAAACGATATAAATAAAAATTTATCAGTCAAGATAAATAAGTCAATGAGAAGAATTTGAACAGATAAATAAAAATATATATAAACAATAAGAAATTCAACTTTTTGAAAAAGATTATCGAACTCTTTTCACTCAGGGTTTGCAAAAGAAAATTTTTTGTTTCGATTATGAATATTTTTCAAAATGATGCATTTATCCCATTCGCTAAAATGAATTTGACAATATCATCTTATAACAGTACACTACTTCCTTATATGTATTGATATACTTGTTTGTGATACGAATTAGACATCAGCGTGACTCACGGTAATGATCACGATCACTGCCAACATATGAAAAAGAACTGTGGATGGGTATGGATGATGATTGGAAAATTACAGGACCATGTATATTTTACATGGAAGGCATTTTCTTTTACATTAATAGTATGAGTCATATTTACGTCGCCAAAATAGTTTTGATTTTTTCATACACCTATACAAAGTAAATAATAATGCAGATTATATGGCCATTCATATGCAAATCAGTCTATGCTACTTAACTTACACTCGACTGGCTCAATGAGTAATATTCCTATGAATCATCAGAGATATGATGAAAGGTCGTCGAACATATGAAATATAAACATTACAATCATATAAGATTAAAAATTCGCTTGTAAATTTCTTTAAATTGAATGAATACATCTTATCATAGTGAATCTCTTGATATAATTTTCAACCTATCTCATTTGATATTAACTGTAAACAACACAGAATTCTCATATTTAATTCGTAAGATTAGTCACTCTAATAACATATACAGTCAAAGCGACCTGAGTAAGCAATAAGATTTTTTCCAATAAATAAATGAATCATAATAGTTGCAGGTGGTAAAAATACAAGTATAGTTTAACGAACTTGTTCTCTTCTCTCTGTGTATATAAAAGCGAGAATCAATACGAAATATAAAATACAACTTTATTTTCTTTTAATAGTTACGTGTGCTGATCAACTAGTGAAAAATGCCAAGTGGTGTGCTTGATGTAGCTATTCTTGAAGGACGTAGTCTTAAAAATTGTGATTTTATTGGTCAAAATGATGCATATGTTGAAGTTTATATGAGCAAAAAATATAAACAACGTACAAGAACAATTAAAAATTCGAATAATCCAACATGGAATGAAGAACTTAGATTTAATATTCATAAAGGTGATGATACAATTCATTTCGATGTCTATGATGATGATCTCATTGGTAGAGATACAATTGGAAAATGTTCAATTAAATTAAAAAAAGCATTCGAAGATGGTGAATTTGATGAATGGATTAAATTACCTTCTCTTCTTGGACTACGTTTCCGTGGTGAAATTCATGTTGTTATGAATTTTACAGTAAGTAACCGCTAAATTGATGTTTTCATATTTTCTAATTTGTTTTTTTCTTCGCTATATTGTAGCCATCGGAATAGCAACGATAATTAATCTCGACTAGAAAACAAATACAATTGCATTGTCTAGTTCCGATCCGAATTATTTTTTATACCAAATGACATGATTTTATTTTGTATGCCTTTACTTGAATAAATACAATTTTCTTTTTTTCTATATTTGATTTAATTTCTGGTAAATATGAATGTAAGAATATAGATATTATACAGTTGTTGCACGAATGGTAGTAGAGTAATATATTTGAATTGTCATTCAGCACTTCAATCAATCATTAAAATAAAAATAATAGTAGTGACTTTAAATATAAATTAATATAATTAGAGTGAGCATAGTTTATTTACTTGCACACGTACATTCACAATCCTCGTTAGTCTTGATCAACCTATGAAATGTTAAGCGTGCAAAAACAATAGTGTTTTTTTGTTTTTTTCTACTTTAAGATCTATGCAATTCGAAGCGATCTTTTCGCTACTCGTTAGTCTACTAATGATACATAAGAACCATTTGAAATTTCTTGTAAAACTATCAGCAGTCAAACACTAGAGTGTAGGTTCGTTTGGACCTCCTGACAACATTCGCGTTATATATAGATGATTTTGATTCGTATTGCGTATGCCTTCTATTGTTTCGAAGATCTATCTATTGAAGATTGATTAGTGTGTTGCTACCAGCAAAGAATAATGTGTTTCTCTATCCTTATTTATCTATCGAAATATTTTCACCATTCTCTTAACTTTTACTCACGATAATTGTAATCCTTCTTTTTTTTGAAAAATCAGCATCCTACGTATACTACAAGCGTATCAATGCATCAGTGACTGAAAAGAGATCATGATATAGACCTTGATCTATCTTATATAGTACAATACAGATGAATTTTCATGTTTTCCTTATGTATTTACGTGTGGGTCCACTTGGACCCACATACATCGTTCGTGTGACTAAGCGAGAACACTCCCGGAGGGTTAAATATCATCGATTTATAATATTAGTCATATTAATGTCTATTGTATAGTGTGTTTTTATTTATGACTCTCTTCTCTCCAAAAACATGGTGTGGGTATGTGATGGATATAACACCGGCATCCACCCACACCCTATTTTATTAAGTAATATTAAAAATCATTAAAAAAATTAATTATTTCATCTCATAATTTATACAGTCATGCGTAGAAGAGAATAAGAGGAAAAGGATTTTAAACGTTTCATTTATTAATTAAATTTATTGATCTTTATTAAAATAAATTTCTATCTGCAGGTGATTGTAAAAGATGAAGAAAATATCAAATACTTGAACTATATGATGCACAAATATATTTTATCAATGATGATGTATGCATAGAATGTTTGTAACTATTTAGAACGAAAATATTTTGAGTGATATATTAGTTCAAATTTGTAGAATTCTCAAAAAACCAAACAAATTGTCAATATCTAAGATCGACATCTATTTGTCGCTTTCATACTGTAACCTATAATAATAATTGATCATTCGATCGATATGCTTTTTTTCCTTTTCTGCACGATTCAATAAAACCTAGGATAGGATTATATAATCAAAACGTTTTTTTTATCTCTGGTATGTTAACTCATCAGTTATCATCTGCTTCATGTTGTTCATATTTATAATTTTAGTTCTAATCAATATTTTCTTCTGAATCATTTTTGCTACAGTGTTACTATTATTGCACTTTCCTTTAATTATAGCAGTTGATATAAGTGAATAATTTCACGGTAGGTGACAACCACGTGCAAGGCGTGTTATGATCAATTACATACAATATAAAATATAACTACGTCATATTTTTCTTTGTAAATAATTTCTTACGTCATCTTATTTTTCAATTGATTCTATACCACTCAGAAATACAGACGTGTAATGACTAATAGCAAAAAAATAGTATAATGAGAACTGATTTACTTCAGACAAGCAAATCTATGATTTATATATTCTATGTTTTATTGATTCGGTTGAAAGAGCAATGGCTGCTAATTATTATTTTTCTTGTTAATATGAATAAAATTATTTTTTTATTTTAGATAGAATAACTAAAATTCAATGAAATTTATTACTACTTTTCTACGAAAGAACGATGTCGATCTTCGACCGTCCAATTCTGAACCAATTGATATTGAATCTGCTAGGACGCGTCTTTATCCGGGTGCTCATGTTGCCGCTGGAACTCCTTATGAACATTTTCATCATGGTATTGTCATTGATTTAACCGGAATTGATATAACAATCGTTCATTATTGGGGTGCTAAAAAAAGCGAAGCTCGTGTTCAAGCAACTACTCTACCAATTTTTGCTGCTGGTGGTATAAAAAAACTTGGCACAAGAAGTCGACAATTGTATATAGTTAATTATGAGGATGATACTCCTGAAAAACAACAACAAACATGTGAACTAGCAAAAGAACTACTCAAAACACCTGATGTTTTCAAATATAATATATTTACACAAAATTGTGAAGGTTTTGCTTATTTTTGTCGAATGGGACAATGGAAAAGTGAACAAGCGACAGCATTGCTAAACTGTCTCAAGAACAAACCTAAACAATTGTTTAAAACAACTAAACATGGAAAAAAATCAAATGTAAATAACTATGCTTGTTTGTTTAAAATAATACCAAATGATGTTCTTTCACCAACCGACAGAGATGAATTGATACAATTGTGTGAACAATATTCTTTGTCTGTATAAAATTTATATGGATAAAATTTGTAGTAAGCATATAAATAACAAGTTGACTTTATTATTCAAATTATATAATACGTGTAAACTGCAGCTGTGTTTTTTTTGTAGTTGATTATTGCCATTGAAGAAATTCGAGAATTACTTATCAATTTTTATTAACATCTTTATTTGTATCAAAATTCTTCAATAGATTTTAAGTCATAAATAAAAATAGTTGAACTTTTCAAGAATACTCTTGCACCTCATATTGCTGATCAGTACACAACACGAATATTATTTTATTTTAATAGAAATAAAATGAAAATTAAGACAAAAAATGATGTATTAAAAATCAATTGTGAAGAATTGCTACACCAATCGACTATGATATTATCGAGAGCTAGTGCCATTCTTACCGATGTTCTTTGATTAACTGTAAAATAAAGTGAGATAGAACAATTACCTTTATGCAATGGTACAGTTATCGTTTGCCATCCATTACTATCATCTTGTTCGATAAAAAACAACGATGCTGCATAACATCCTCCTGTAGATACATCTAACCAAGTACCATTATCAGTACCAGTTGATTTAATGTAGTACATAAATTCTAGACACATATTTTCACCATTGGTTTGATTAAATTTTGGAGTATGCGCTCGTCCATTGAATTCTTCAGCATGTGGAAAATTGTCAGAACGAGACCAGTAGAAAAACGAATGACCAG